GTTGCGAAACTTTGTAAAGGTTCTGAAACATTAGATAATGCTGAAGATAGACGATAGATACTAGCTTTGACTGTTCATAGCTCACATGTTCTGTAATTTTGCGGAGCGATAAATTTGAGTCATTCCAGTGCCTATTCGTTTTACTCAAATCATCACAAAAATTTAAGCGACAGTGAATCGGTAATTTCAGTAAATGATGTTTTATTTTAACACCTATGTAAATCCTTATTATTGTCGAACAGCACACAGCTCATCACAGTCACTAGTTCACTGAACTATACAGTACTTTTCCCAAGCCCGCTCCCCATTCTATGTATTGGACTGGTCAAGCTTGCAAGCTGAATTTTAGGATGCTGCTGAAAACTATATTTTGTGTAAAAATAATTGTCGGAAACTTAAAAACTATGGCTGGGCGCGTCCGTCGATAATATTGAAGCTCTCTACGAGAACTCCACAGTGTACATTTACTATCTTACAAAATGGCGGCTGGCGGGCTGCCAAGGTTCTCTTTACATTGAATTGCTTATATTTTAACAAATAACCATAAAAATGCTATAACATATTATATCAATCGTCTTCTCTTATGACGGTCTATCTGAATTTGGGAAAAAATATTAAAAGATTTTGATACTATTTTTAAATGAAATGTTCCATGTTTTATTACACCGCACAGATCCTCCCAAGGAAAGAAGGTTGTTGTAACATATGATACAGTTTTGACATATATTTGTTGAGTCCATCAGAAGATACTGATTTTACATTTCAGGGTGATAAATTACTCATCAAGAGCTCCAAAGTGACCCCCAATTCCATTTAAAAAATGTTCCTGGATGGCGATCTACCCCCATTTTGAAATTGTCAGCTAGGTACCATTCTGACTCGGGAACGTTTTCAGCTATCAGTTTTACACTAAAACACATAGTATTCATGTGCCGGTTCAAAAAATGGGGTGGGGAAACCTCTTTGTAAGTCACTGTATAGGCACATTCACCATATTTTTAAAAGACTCTCCATTATGATGAAAGTAATGGCTTTTGCATGTTCCAAACAAGGACGGTAAATTAATATGTAAATCGGTAACAGTCTTCTTCGCCTAAATGAATCAGCTATAGACTTTATTGTGCAATGCTCAAATATACAGGGTGATTCACAAGTCGTGAACACTGAAACATCTTTCACAGGACTACATTACTATGCAACATTTTCCTCGGGGGCTTCATTAAAATTTTTTTTTAATATCTTCAAAACTGGCATGAACTAAAATTTGGTATGTGGATTTAACGAAGCATTGTCCACATTCAAAAGTCTTTACTTGAAGTTAACGTGCACCAGTGGCGGAGATACAGGGGATTAGTGACATTATTTTTCCAAATAAAAATAGTACGCCACTGTTTTTTCTTTCGAAAGGAGCAATTTTTCTAATTTTTCTTTCAATTGCCTACAAATAATTACTCTTGTGTTTGTTTCCTAGAGTGCACTGTTTTGGTAAACATAAAAATAAAACAACTTAGATTATTTGTGAAGAGCCGAGGTGCTATTAGTTTCAAAATAAAATAGGAGGCCTTGATACCAACTTGACGAAAAGTCAAGTTAAAAGTCTATTTTTTCTACTTTTTGAGTGTTGGGAAATGGAATTTAGCAATGATAAGTACGCCGATATTAATTTTGTGTACGGGTTCTGTAATGGATATGCTTCTTGGGAGTATCAGCGTAGATTTCCTAACAGACGCCCACCTATATCAAAGGTTTACGCGTTCATTTCGAAGACTTCGGCAATATGGAATTGCTAAACTTCCCGAAGCTAGAGGCCACGGCGTCCGGCATACTGTTCAAGAGGATCTGGAAGTGACTAAATTGGCGTTGGATGATCCTAGTACAAGTACTAGTCTTGCGTGAGGAATTTTAAATCGGGAAGTTTTACATCCTTACCATCGGCAAAATGTGCAATATCTGTACCCGGCGACGAAGTGCGACGCCGAAATCTTTGTGAATGGTTACTGCAAATGCATAATCAAAATGAAGGTTTTATTGATTTGTCTTTTCTCATATTGAAAATATTCGATAGTTAGAAAATCCCCGATCTGTAATAGTCCACTCGTTTCAACATAGATTTTCTAGAAATGTCTGGCGCGGCATTTTCAATGGCCAAGTGTTTATGCACGCATTGCCTCAGCATTTAAATGCAAACTCATACTTAGCTTTTCTAGACAATTATATAGAAAATGTGTTAGATGATTTTCCGTTAGCAACTAGAGTACGAGTGACATTACCGCATAGTTAAATAATCATTTTAGATAACGATCGATTGGCAGAAACGAACTCATACCTTGGCCTGCGGGGTCTCCCCTGAATTTCTTTTTGCGGAGCGCTTTTAAACAACTAGTGTATGCTGAACAAATTAGTACTGTTAATCAGTTACAAAAAAGAACAGATAATGAGTTTCATCAAATTCAAGCCTCAACGAATTTTGCGGAAAGACGTTTATCTTTACTAAAAGGATGGCGCACTTGTGTATTCGTCAGAATGGTAGTAGGAAAACACACAAGAGTAATTATTTGTAGAAACTTGAAGGTAAAATTCAAAAAATTGCTCGTTTCGAAAGAAGTACTAAATTTTATTTCATTCCAGTTGACGGTTCTGAAGATATTAAGAAAAATTGTTTTTTATTTTTAAACTTCTTGATTATCTTTTCAATGAAGCCCCTGAGCAAAAAATGTTACATAGAAGACCCTCCCTTGAAATGCGGTGCTATGTAAGATGTTTTATTTTTGTTCACGACTTGTAAATCTCCCTGTATAAGTAAATGGTATGGCTTATCGTTGGCTAAATTATGCAGGGTGGTTCCGAAGATAACGACAATATTCCTGAGGCAGAAAGTGATTCCAAAAACAACATAAAAAGTTGTTATAATCATACCTTTTAAAACATCTCATTGCGAATATACACGGTTCAAGTGTCTACACCACTAACGAGTCAGGACAAAACATAAATAGTGATCAAATAATGTTGTAGTAAGTAATGTAGTAGTAAGATAGGACGACTGTCCTAATATGCTACGTACAATTTCAGTATGAAGCTTCATCAACTCCAGCTTATTTTCAAACTACGAGTTGAAGTTATTCTTGTACAGTCAGCTGTCCAATTATTAGGGACAGTGAAATGCTTTACCATTTTATGACCTTATAGACGCACGTAGCTGCAGTTCTAATTGATCCAAGTGCCTAGACTGGAGCTCAGATTCATCTTCAATGTGTTTCAATAAATTAGTATCTAAGTAGACGTTGAGAGTTAAAGGGCAAGTGTATTTGGTTTCAATAATTGTCAAATATGTGAGTGCTACATAGGACTAAACACCTCAGTCAGTGAAGACAAGTTTGAAGATCTAAACAAAGCTATTGTGATAGAGAGCTTTGCTGTAAAGGTGGTTCAAATCTATGGTTATGCTGATGCTAAAAACACATTTTTCCAAATTAATCCAAATTAATAATAACTATGCTTTCTAATATAGTTTTCATTCCAGTATAAGCCGCAGGGATTCGCACTCCAGAAAAAAAAACTGAGTTTAAACGGATGGAACGGGTGTTCCTGAATCAACCATTGATGGAGTAAGCAACCAACTTGGACCTCCAGTCTGGGATAAAGTCAATTATCATCCTTTTGCTGTTTTACAATAAAAAAATATTCCAGTGTCAATTGTCATGTACTCATATAGCCCTATGGAGTCATTTTTCCTTCATCGCATCATGACCTGACAAGACTTTCTCTGCAAGCTTCTGCTGGACAGTACTGATAGGAGCTGGTACACCAGACTTCAGTATCATTTGGTTCAACAGCTCGGCACTTTTCTTTCGATTTTGTTGAGGAATATCACGAATTTTCTGGTAGGCACGTGACGCTGGTGTGCGTTTTCATTCACTATTCCATATTCTTTCAAGCGAAATGGACTGGAGATTTATTTTTATTCCATTAGCGCTGTTCTATCTGCTATTTGCCTTTGTGCATGACTTCTGTGCGGAAGACGGGTTTTAAACTCTGTTTTTCAAATTTTCATTAAATTAGATTTAAAGAAATATATTCTTAACAACAAAATAATAATAGTCGTACTCACCGTCTAAACTACCTTTTCATTAATCAATTAGTACAATCGAACATGCCCAATTCCCAACATCCAACCATATGAAGTTATCGAAGCACGTTAAGCATAGGTATAAGTCTAAACTCCAGTTACACATATGTCACTTAAAACTGCAGCTATTCTCCTGAGTCTTTGTAGTAGTACAAAGGAGTAGTAATGATTGAGAGACGAAGCTTGGAAACTAGGCCATGCTTGATCATCTTTGCTGATCTTTTAGTAGCAATACTATACTCCTTCACAGTCTATCTACTAGTAACTGATTATTGAGTACACCAGCTCCAGCAATTTGATGTACTCGTGGATCGTGCACCAATCTAGTGCGTAGATATAGATAAATACAACACTTATGGCTCAAAATTAGCTTCCGATGAGGAGAAGCGAAAACAATCAATTTTTCAATTCTATGAATTAACGACGCGGCTACCCAGCCCCCCGCGCCTAAAGCCATAAAATAGTGAAAAATGTGACATTCCTTAATAATTTGGTAACCATTTTGAAATTGAATGAGTTATTCAAAAATATTCAAAAAGTGGAGGCGTAGAAGATAATTTTTTTTTTTGCGTTTCTAGGTGACTAAATTTCCCAGTTTATACGCCACTGGCTTAGTTTCTGCTACGAAGACTTATGTTTTGACTGTTAATACTACATGTACAAAGCTTAGCGCAATATTCCAGTCCGCTCCAAAGATATAATTCTTTTCGATTTCGAAAGCGCAGCTTCAATACCCTGCATAGAAGCAAGCATTTTCTGCCCACGTCAATACGAATTTTTAGTATTAGTTTTTGTCTCTGAATCACCTCGTAGAAAGAGAAGGGTAAAATACGAAACGAAAGCAGGCACTGTGATTGTATCCGTTTAATTGATACTTCGTTAACATAAAAAAATAAATTAACACACAAAAATTCAGAGAGATAGAATAAGAAATATCCTGAAAAAAATAAACAATGCAGTAGCACCTATCTCGACCAAAATTAACAGAAACATACAGCTGGCTAGCTGCTACCGAAGGGTTTTGCATACAAAAAGACAAGATGTTGACAATATGCCAATACCTCGAATATAGTAGAAAATAGTGTCAGTCAAGGTCATGTCTTTGTCAGAAGGATACAGTAAAAGTCAAAGAAGGTTTGTCATTCGCACAGAAAAAAAATAGAGACTAGTTTTAACTAAGGAGCTGATTGAATTAGGAAGTTTTAAGTGCAAATGTATATGTTAAGGTAATGAGTAATAACTGTCTAGAGAGAATAAGTCTATCACAGAAATAGTTATCGATTGAGCTTTTACAATAAAAGTACTTTCAGATTCAGCAAGACAGAGATCATACCATCCTTGCACCATGAAATGAAGGGGAAGGAGCATCCAATTTTAAGAGACGAAATATCCATACCCATAACTCTGGCATCAACGATAGTAGTAACATATATGTAGCAAAGTCAATAAGGTTTTAGAAAATGTAGGTTGTCCCATAGATATGTATCCGTGGTCATATGTCTAAATTAGACATAGTAGAAGTAGAGATCAAAGTATGATAGGTTATAAATATGCATAATAAGTTATCGGCACTATATTAGGTGATCTAACTCTGTTTGTACTGATCCCAGGCTTGGTAGGCCATATCAATTGCAGCTTCACGTTTCCTTCTGTATTCATGACCATGGTGACCGGCATGGATCACTGTGTGACCTGAAAAAAACATTGATTTATTAAGCCTCAGGATGTATTAATTATAACTGTAACGATGATTTCGGTTTCAAACACATTCTATAAGTAATCGAGAAGCTATTGTTCTTGGAGAACGAAAAGTGTGTGCTTTACATCTATCGGTGCATTATTAGTAGATCTTAACTGGATATGAAACAGATTTGAGACTATAGGTAGCAGATTTTAGCTGTGGTCTGATGGTTTCGCTTGGATCGCTCAGATTAAACCTAAATTCAATAATCTATTATGAGCCCGTACACAGAGTTTGAACAACTTGGCCCCTACACATTTAAGGCAAGCATATTGGTGGCAAACACGGGTAGAAGGGACGAACTTAATAGAAACTTTTGGATATCAATGGAAAATAAATAGCAAAGCATAGTAGCTACTGAGTGGTACATAAGATTTCAATCGAGAGAAAAGAAAAAGGATCCGTGCAGGAAAATAAAATAAAAATATAATTCATTTGAGTGACTCCGATTATACCAAACTTGCTACTATGGAAATTCAATATGCGGGGAGACAAATCTCACCTGGATGTCATTCTTGATGTTCAAACTATATGTGCCTTAATGGCTTTGGGTTTGAATGGGTGGAAAAAATTGAACAACGCACTTTACAAAATGTGCCTCTTTGAAACCACTATCCCTTGGAAGAGGTAGGAGAAGCCAAGAAACATGCCATCCTGGATTATTCTATCGTAAAAAGAAGAAGTCTATTCAACAAATTAAGATTAAATACAAAAAAATTGTGGGTATGTAGTATCGACAAAGTAATTTAGTGTTGCTTACCGGCATGTGGTACCATGCAGCATCAGTGCAGTTGGAAGAGAGACCTAAGCGATATGATTTGAAAAACGTTGAACTACGTTAGGAAATTAAAATGGAGATCTACAGCAGTGAGCTAGTTCTTGACATGAGAGAGAGGAGCGGAAAGAAAATGGGGGTAGTCCTTTTACAACTTGGAGAACCGTATTCCTGATAAAAGAGTCGCTCCCCTGACGTTGTTGAAAAGGTTCGGAAGGCCCGCCGTCGTCTCTCAGGCTCATCTCCAAGGACAAAGTTAATGTTGTGATGAAACGTTTGGTGACATAAGGAACATAGAAAAATGTTTTATCTCTGAAAATTATAGGATTTACAGAATTGTTTGGCAAATGTCAGAATTTGGGATCATTCGGGAGGAAGATTTTTATCCTAGTGTACTCAAGAATTAAAAAGCAGTGTCATCTCAGCATTCAAGTAAAGCAAGCATTGTTCAACAGTTTTCAGATCGAATATCTTTTATAACGAGCAGTTAGTAGTTACTCCGAAATAGACTTATTATGCATTTTATTAGAATTTCGAGAACCCTCGCAGCTCACCTTCTTCGTGGTCGTGATGCACCAGCTTCTTCAGCCCAATGATTACCGAGAGCATCAGTGCAAGTGCCGACACCATTAGCGCCTTCATGGCCAGTAGGCCCACACCACCGACACCCAACGCGGCCAGCATTTTTCCCATCATTAGGCCTAGGAGGACGATTCCATGACCTCCTCCGCCGCCCCCTTTGCCGCCTCCACCGCCCCCTCCACCTCCACCGCCGCCACCTCGCGGTGAACCTGCAAACAGAAAGGGTTGGTTAGTGTTAAACATGTAGACAGTTTTGGATTTTGTAGTTTATCGCACAAGAAAAAAAATTAATAGAAAATAACCATCTACAAGAAGTAGCGTAAGACCCGGCACTTCTCACGCGACGACGTCAATATCATTTGAAAAAGCACATGTCATCCAACTATGATGAGCTATAACAAAGTTCTTAACTGAAACAAGTGTATCAAATAAAACCATAAAATTAGTTCCCATTCCACACTCATTTGACAACGTTACTGTCTAGAAGATTTTCCTTATCCCTACTAAGCATCCGACAACTTTGCGATCAGAGTTGCAGTAGAGTGCCCTCACCAGCGACTACCGCACGAGAGGTTTGATTCCTCTTTTTGTTGCGAGTAGTGCAGGTATCGAAATTATTGCTAACACATTCGATACAGTTCACAGTCTACTGTTAAATATTTTCGACAAATTAGGTTTTCGTGGGAAAATATATTCTTTGATGCAAAGTTACCTATCAAAAAGGCCCCAAGTAGTGAAGCTATCAAAATCGTACAGTAAGCAAATATTGGTCAAATGTGGTGTACCTCAGGGTACAGTGTTAGGCCTTCTTTTATTCAATATATATTTGAATGATATATTCAATATTAACTGTATAGGTAAAATAATTAGTTTTTCTGATGCTACGGCAATACTATATACAGAGCAAGACTGGAATGTTGTGAAGAAAATAATTGAGAAGGACTTTTGCTTTTTTCAACGCTAGAAAACTAACAGTGAACTTTGGAAAAACGCATTTTCTACCCGTCACATCAAACGCTAAACGTCTACCCGATTATTCAGGTATTTTCTTCAAAATAAAGAAAACAAATTTAAAAATTGACAGAGTGGACAATATCGAATATTTAGGAATTTATTTAGACCAACATTTAAGGTGGGACACTCATGTAACCAACATTTTAAAGAAAATAAGATTTGTTACATAAAAAATTAAATTTCACACAGGTATATTGACAGAAAATTATATGCGTACTATATATATCATGCCTTAATTGAGCTGCACTTAAAGTATGGTATATTAGCAGCGTACTTAAACGACAGAGATGCTTTACAGAGACTGTTTTGAAAATTATCTTCGGAAAATCAAAATTATATTCAACAAATGATTTATATAACCAAACAAAATATTTGATATCAAGCAACTTTATTCTATACATACTATCAACCATTATCACAAAGTTGTCAGTCAGCGCAACAAAATCACACATTGCCGTGATACACGATATGAATCACGAGAAAAAACTGTCCCTAAACCTTATAAAACAAGAATTAAGCGATCTTCTCTCTATTTTGCTCCAAAATTATATGTTAGACATACCCAAAGACTTAAAGCAATGTCGAAATACACGCAATTTTGAAAAAATTGTTATCAAAACGGATACGCGCAATAGGCAGACAACATATTGAATTGCTATCAAATATTCCTCAAAAATTATCATCCTTTACGTATACATCTCTTTAATATAAGTTTTTCTTTAAAATTGTTTTAACTTTTTTGTTTTGATTTTGAACACATTCCAAAATCCGACTGATCCGTGTAGAGGCATTGCCCTTCTATTTATTAAAACATTTGTTTAACCATTCTATGTTGCTGTTGTTCTCATATAATGGAATACTTTAGGTCTTAAAGGAAAAAACATAGGGAACTATATGTTTGTTGGAAACATGTCTGAAAGATGCATAGAAATACCGGGGTTGGAAGCATATTTATAAATATGTGAACGACAAAAAAATTTAAATACACCTCCTATAACCTCTTGCAACGGATTTTCTATTCTTCAAAAGCGTTTCTAAAAATGAAGAGTCTCTGAAACGTCAAGAAAAAAGTCTATAATCTTTCTTGTTATTTGCTCGTAGCTTTGCCGCTATTGGATTAATTTAAAAAAATTACAACGCTTCCTTGACATAGTAGCAACTCTGTATCGCAGTTTCATCAAGATCTTAGCCATACCTTCCAGGCTATAGAGGGGCTAAGGACTAGCAGAGGGACGGTCAAACCGACAGACAGAGTGGCAGACAGACAGGCATAAATAGTCGCAAAGTTTTCGTGATGTACATTGTACATGCCATATATCATCAAAAGACATGTCGTGATTGTTAGAAGCCATTTGTAGAGTATAGGTGTAGTCGTAAAAACAGGCAACGGAAAGCAAACAAGCGGACATGGTCCGCTGGAAAACCAAGTAGATGACACCTATGAGTTTTTCGCCAAAGCCAATGTCTGCTCCATGAACGGAACTTGTGTCGCCCATCGTCATAGGCGATTTGTCAATCAAGGCAATACTAAGTGCTCACCATGCTACCAGTCCGCAAAGGTTTTAATGAGGTGTGTGGGCCATGGAAGCCATGCTCTTTGTAACGCCGATTAATAAAAAGTCATAGTTATGTCATGCAATGACAAATTCCTTTCACTCAAACTAACACACATTTAACTGAAACACACAGACATGGCATTGGTATTTTTTCACTTCGATCCCTTGCTTTATTGACCTTGGTCGTAGACGTTAAGATTATATTATGAGTTCATAGCAAAACGTACATTTTCAAGTGAACAAAGCATAGTTTTCTATAGTCTGTAAGCTCCGAATTGATATATAGTTATTTGCTTTCTTATTAAATAAAAAAATGTTGCTGTATTTGCATTTAAATTAAAATATCGATTGTGCTTCTAGGAAACCCAGTGGTGGTTTATTGTATAGTTGATAAAAAAATGACAGTTGGCCTTGCCGGTTCTTAAATTATACCACCTCAATATTTAGGTACTGGTTTGTAGAATTACAAGAAACGGACCCAAAAGAAGACCATTTTGGTTGTTTTAAATTTTTATATTTCGCTATGAAGGTTACTGCCAATGTATTTGATGTCATACCTATATCATCATCATATCATATCACTGATACTTATTAAAACTGTTTTCAACTCTTCTCATGAATAAAGGTTTAGCAATAGCATCCAAGTAATGTGCGCTGATCATCTTTCTCGCGAATGCATTAAGGTATTTGATGTTCCGTTTTGTTGATGGATCATTTTATGTATATTGAGTAGTGTGAGCAGTAATTCTGACCATAGCGCTAGCTTCAATTTGACTGATTTACTATATCGGGCTTGTTCTATACGTATACATGCCGAAGTCGTACGGTAAGGGTTTAATAAAATTAAAGTCCAACAAATAATAATTAATTAACTAATAAATGATTAAATAAAACCAAGTGTTACTTAATCATTTTTATTTCATTCATCCAGCAAATAGGGGTGTGTTTATTGGCGTTTGTAGACTTTTATGGTCCGCCAACATTAAATTGTGTCCCAAAAATATGGGTTTCCCTTGGGCTATGTAAAAATAGTAGCACATAATACGTTATTTGGGATATGTCACACGATCGATACCTATTGTGATCTGTCAGTGTTGATAATGGAATGTGATATTTATTGACCGTGTACCCTGGCCCTCAGTAACTGTTAACGTGTAACGTTACGTGTAGTTTCACTGACACTGACGGAGCCTTCAGTAAATACTGATGGTACAGGTCACAGTAAGTAGTGGTCGTGCAACATCCGTCTTAGAATTATGCAATCCGAATGGATCAATACCATTTCCGGAAATAAATACTGAGGCTTAAACTGCTAACAGTAAAACTGGAGAAATGTCAGTCACTAATTGAAAGCAACATTTTCAGAGTTTTCTGGACGAGACAATGAGAGACCCAAAGATAGCGAGAAATGTGTTTATATATACGCTCAGATTATGAGTTTTTACGCTTTAAGATTATCGTTCCTTGGATACCACTTGGCCCAGAAGGAAATTATTTATTTTGAGCCACATCAGTCTTATAACTTTTCTCGTTTACGACGTGCCGATATGGCCTTGTGCCTGCAAACTAATTTCCTTTTCCAAAACTCGATTTGATTTAGTGCGGTACTCACGCTTCAATGATCCTTCAAGCCCAAAGGAGGCAACCAAATTATATCTTCTCATTTTAATCAGGAGAAATAACCCATCAAGTAATTATTCACGCTCTATCTATGGCAGCTGCTTGCTGCAATATTTTGGACTCTTGGAGACGGAATTAAGACGACGAGAGAAAACCAAGTCAGAGCATCACCAAACCACGTTTTGTTCGTTCTCCGGCTTGCAGGTAATTTTTGGCTACAGTATAAAAATGTTTTGAGAGAATCTCATTTTTCAAGCTCTTTGAAGTTCACAATCGTTTCTGGGTTGGGATTAATGCTTTCAAATTTTTTAAATAACAATAACTTATATTTTGGTTTTTGAAGGCCTTAACAACGGTCGTAGTGTACTCTCGTGAATACTCTAGATGTGCACATTCATTTTTTTTTCAGTTGGAGTTTGAGGTCCGAATATTAGGACTGACTAGTTTGACTAAGGATATGTTTCCTGTACCTTTTTACATATCAATACTAGATAGAGGTAATCCATTGATGACCTTTAATTAATCTTGTCAATTTAAGTGAAAAGTTTAATGACTGTATCGAAGAGAGAAAACCAAGTCAGAGCATCACCAAACCACGTTTTGTTTGTTCTCCGGCTTGCAGGTAATTTTTGGCTACAGTATAAAAATGTTTTGAGAGAATCTCATTTTTCAAGCTCTTTGAAGTTCACAATCGTTTCTGGGTTGGGATTAATGCTTTCAAATTTTTTAAATAACAATAACTTATATTTTGGTTTTTGAAGGCCTTAACAACGGTCCTAGTGTACTCTCGTGGATACTCTAGATGTGCACATTCATTTTTTTTTCAGTTGGAGTTTGAGGTCCGAATATTAAGACTGACTAGTTTGATCAATGATATGTTTCTTGTACCTTTTTACATATCAATACTAGGGGGAATCCATTGATGTCCTTTAACTAATCTTGTCAATTTAATTGAAAAGTTTAATAACTGTATCAAGCCTCGTCTCCCTGTTACATATTTATATCAAGGTCTATTGTGTAATACTAAAAGCCTGAGACCTTGTTTTACTCAAC